TAAATAAATAGAATTCATCTTGGATTCGATTTCGAAAAAGACATACACAAATTTAGAAGAGATCAGATGAAATTTAATACCATGATTAATAGAATTAATCATTAACTACATCTATATCTTAATACAAGCTTTTTTATTCCTTTTATTCGCGAGGAGCTGGATGAGAAGAAACTCTCACGTTCAGTTCTGTAGTAGAGATGGAATTTCTAATTTAGAACCATCAACTATAACCCAAAAAGAACCAGATTTCGTAAACAACATCGAGGAAGACTAAAAGGAATATCTTCTCGTGGGAATCGTATTTGTTTTGGCAGATATGCTCTTCAAACACTTGAACCCGCTTGGATCACATCTAGACAAATAGAAGCAGGGCGACGAGCAATGACACGAAATGTACGACGTGGTGAAAAAATTTGGGTACGTATATTTCCAGACAAACCAGTTACAGTAAGACCTGCGGAAACGCGTATGGGTTCTGGGAAAGGATCCCCCGAGTATTGGGTAGCTGTGGCTAAACCAGGTAAAATCCTTTATATAATGGGTGGTGTACCCGAAAATATAGCCAGAAAAGCTATTTCAATAGCGGCATCAAAAATGCCTATAAAAACCAATTCATTATTTCTGAATAGGAATATAGAATGAAAAAGCTAAATAACATTTGAGGATAAAAAGATTATCAATTTTATTTTTTTGACAAACAATATTTTTTTACTTCGTCCTTTGCATTAAAAGAAGAGATACAAAAAAAATGATATGATTCAACCACAAACCTATTTGAATGTAGCAGACAACAGCGGGGCTCGAGAATTGATGTGTATTCGAATAATAGGAGCTAGTAATCGCCGATATGCTCATATTGGTGACGTTATTGTTGTTGTAATCAAAGAAGCAATACCAAATACTCCTCTAGAAAGATCAGAAGTGATTAGAGCTGTAATTGTACGTACTTGTAAAGAACTCAAACGTAATAATGGGACGATAATACGATATGATGACAATGCCGCAGTTGTCATTGATCAAGAAGGAAATCCAAAAGGAACTCGAGTTTTTGGGGCGATCCCACGGGAATTGAGACAATTAAACTTTACTAAAATAGTTTCATTAGCTCCTGAGGTATTATAAGATCTAAATATCGATAGTTTAGTATAGGATTAAAAAAACTGGTATTGAAATAAAATTAATTAATAGATTGTCTATCACGCATATACCCTTAATAATAAAATATTAAGAATTTAATTCATATATTAATATATAATTCGTCTATATCTATATATAAATAAAAGAAAAAGAACATGTTGATTATATCAAAATTATAGAACAATAAGGAATTTTAACTTATCATGGGGAAAGACACTATTGCTGATATAATAACCTCTATACGAAATGCTGACATGAATAGAAAAGGAACGGTTCGGATAGGATCGACTAACATCACCGAAAGTATTGTTAAAATCCTTTTACGAGAGGGTTTTATCGAAAACGTAAGGAAACATCGCGAAAGCAACCAATATTTTTTGATTTTAACCCTAAGACACAGACGAAATAAGAAAGAATCCTATAAAACGATTTTAAATTTAAAGAGAATAAGTCGGCCGGGTCTACGAATCTATTCTAACTCTCAACGAATTCCACGAATTTTAGGCGGAATAGGAATTGTAATCCTTTCGACTTCTCAAGGTATAATGACAGACCGAGAAGCTCGACTAAAAAGAATCGGCGGAGAAATTTTGTGTTATATATGGTAATCCTTCTAATATAAAAATTACATATCTGGAACTTACGATTTGTGAAAAAAAGGGGGTTGTGTAATACCACCCCTGTTCAAAAAAGTTTCGGATGTTTTACTTCGAATGAAATTAAAGAAAAAATGAATTAATGAAAGTTTTCTTTCTGAATCACTTCCGAACGGCATGGTTCGATTTTGTTTAGATACTAAAATTTTTTTTTTAGTTCATGCTTCTGAAAGGATTCGACATATTTTTGTATAGGTATACCTATAGGAAAAAAAGGTAAAATTTTTAGTAAGTTCTTAGGTATAAGTTAATCAGGGGACAGCCATTTTCTAGACTCCATAACAAGGATTCAAATAAGTAAGTGGTTTTTTCAATTTCAACCATTCCTTTCACGAAGATACAATTCAAGATTCAAAAATATCAAGAAACCTTTTTTTCGTCCACCAATAAATATATTCACAGAATTAAGGAATAACAACTATGAAAATAAGGGCTTCCGTTCGTAAAATTTGTGAAAAGTGTTGACTAATCCGCAGGAGGGGACGAATTATAGTAATTTGTTCCAATCCGAGGCATAAACAAAGACAAGGATAATCTTACTAAAGGAACTAAAGTAAAGGAAAAGGCACTTCCAAAGAGTTGGAAAAAAGGGTCTGTTTTGACATGAAATGGATATATTCATATATTTCTTGTGAAATGAAAAAATATGGCAAAACCTATATTAAGAATTGGTTCGCGTAAAAATACACGTAGTGGTTCACGTAAAAATGTACGTAGAATACCAAAGGGAGTTATTCATGTTCAAGCAAGTTTCAACAATACCATTGTGACCGTTACAGATGTACGGGGTCGGGTGATTTCTTGGTCCTCCGTGGGTACTTGTGGATTCCGGGGTACAAGAAGAGGAACACCTTTTGCTGCCCAAACCGCAGCAGGAAATGCTATTCGAGCAGTAGTGGATCAAGGTATGCAACGAGCTGAAGTAAGGATAAAAGGCCCTGGACTCGGAAGAGATGCAGCATTACGAGCTATTCGTAGAAGCGGTATACTTTTAAGTTTTGTACGAGATGTAACCCCTATGCCATATAATGGTTGTAGACCCCCTAAAAAAAGACGTGTATAGAACTAAATAAAGGCTGAAAGGATTTCAAGAGAAATAAACGATTCAATGATCTGATCAAATAAAATTACTATGGTTCGAGAGAAAGTCAAAGTATCTACTCGGACACTACAGTGGAAGTGTGTTGAATCAAAAAGAGACAGTAAGCGTCTTTATTATGGACGCTTTATTCTGTCTCCACTTATGAAAGGTCAAGCCGACACAATAGGCATTGCGATGCGAAGAGCTTTACTTGGCGAAATAGAAGGAACATGTATTACACGTGCAAAATCTGAGAACATACCACATGACTATTCTAACATAGTAGGTATTCAAGAATCAGTACACGAAATTTTAATGAATTTGAACGAGATTGTATTAAGAAGTAATCTATATGGAACGCGCAACGCGCTTATTTGTGTCCAAGGTCCTGGATATATAACTGCTCGAGACATAATTTTACCGCCCTCTGTAGAAATCATTGATAATACACAGCATATAGCTACCTTAACGGAAACAATAGATTTGTGTATTGAATTAAAAATCGAGAGGAATCGCGGATATAGTCTAAAAATGTCAAATAACTTTGAAGACAGAAGTTATCCTATCGATGCTGTATTCATGCCTGTTGAAAACGCGAATCATAGTATTCATTCTTATGGGAATGGGAATGAAAAACAAGAGATTCTTTTTCTAGAAATATGGACAAATGGAAGTTTAACTCCTAAAGAAGCACTTCATGAAGCCTCCCGGAATTTGATTAATTTATTTATTCCTTTTCTACATGTAGAAGAAGAAACGTTCTATTTAGAGAACAATCAGCATCAAGTTACTTTACCCTTTTTTCCTTTTCATAATAGATTAGTTAACCTAAGAAAAAAAACAAAAGAACTAGCCTTTCAATATATTTTTATTGACCAATTAGAATTGCCTCCCAGAATCTACAATTGTCTCAAAAAGTCCAATATACATACATTATTGGACCTTTTGAATAACAGTCAAGAAGACCTTATCAAAATTGAACATTTTCACGTAGAAGATGTAAAAAAGATATTAGACATTCTAGAAAAAAAATAGAAAAAGCATTTCAATTTCAAATTGAAATGGATTTTAAACCTTCAACGTAATTTCGATTTTCCAGTCGAACCCATTTTAATTAATTAATTAAATTAATTAGATATGTATCTAGGGAGAATTCATTCCCTAGATACCCACGTCGTTTATTTTACAATTGAATAAATTTAATTAAAAAAGACCTAAAGTTAGAGATTTATCAATCGGTAATGTTGCTCCAATACCTAACCACAGGGCCGCCGCGGTGCCAATCAAAAAAACGGTTGTCGCTACTGGACGACGAAATGGATTTTGAAACTTATTAACATTTTCCAAAAAGGGTACGGTTAATAATCCCGCTGGTACTGAAACCATTAAAAGAACACCCAATAATTTGTTAGGCACTGTACGAAGTATTTGAAATACAGGAAAGAAATACCATTCAGGTAATATTTCCAAAGGAGTTGCAAAAGGATCCGCAGGTTCACCAATCATTGATGGTTCTAAAACCGCTAAGCCTACGTTACAGGCAATGGTACCAAGAATGACTACTGGAAAAATATATAAAAGGTCGTTGGGCCATGCGGGTTCCCCGTAATAATTGTGACCCATACCTTTAGCTAATTTAGCTCGTAATACAGGATCATTCAAATCTGGTTTTTTTGTTATTGGGATAGGTGAATTCTTATGGATCCATCCCCCGAGGGAACCGGACATGATAATTTTTTATCATCCGGCTCGAGCAAGAATTAACCAAACTAAATGAATACATACAAAAAATATAATTTAATATGTAAAAAAAGAATTATCCGATTCCAAAGTTATTGCAACTAAAGATTCCAGAAATTCCATTCTTACAGGTAAATGCTCAACACCCACGTAAGCTTAAAAAAATTAAGTGCTTTCTGGGTCGTCTCATACCTTATAAATTTGTCCTTAATCTCAAAAATTATATCGAGATTTTTCAAATACAAAGGATTTACTTGTTACTAATGGAGTCTACCCTCTACTCTTCATTAGATCCTGTATTCACTCCGATAGTATCATAAATCGAGTCGATGCAGAGAAAATGAATGCATTTACATACTATTAATTATTTTCTTTTAATTATTTTCTTTTTTTTAGTCCAAAATAACTAAAAACATAATCAGGATTATGTTCCATCCCTTAATCTACTGGATTTTACGGAGCCCACTCATCCACGGCAGCGTCGGGTATGATCATAGAAAAGATTCTCTTAAAGTGAACCAGCCTATCCCCTGTATGGGGCTTACACAGTGGTTGGAACAAAGACACATTTGGTTGTGAATTCCAATGTAGCAGATAAAGTCATATTTCTGCACGGCCCGATCAATAGTTCAAGTCACACACTCCCATAATCCATTATCTCTTCATAGAATTCCCTTCAACTTTTTATGTCAAAAAATAATAAAATATTGTGGAGTTGAAGGGAAATATCCAAATACATGTCTTATTTTTTTAATAATCCATATTTATAGCAATAAAATACTATTGTTCCTTCACCAAGTAATAAGTAAGTACAAATATCTAGAATCTATATTATTTATAAGGGACCAGAAATACCTTGCTTACGTATCATTAGGAAATGCATTAACATAAAGACGGCCGTAAGAAGAGGTAATACAAAAGTGTGTAAACTATAAAAACGAGTCAAAGTGGATTGTCCAACACTAGCACTTCAACGTAATAATTCTACAAGAGGTGATCCTATTACCGGAATAGCGTCAGGTACACCTGTTACAATTTTGACTGCCCAATAACCAATTTGATCCCAAGGTAAAGAATAACCTGTTACACCAAAAGATGCGGTCAATACACCCAGAACCACACCAGTAACCCAAGTTAATTCGCGAGGTTTTTTAAAACCACCGGTGAGGTATACACGAAATACGTGCAGGATCATCATTAGGACCATCATACTTGCCAACCATCGATGAACTGATCGGATTAACCAACCAAAGTTAGCTTCAGTCATTATATATTGAACAGAAGCAAAAGCTTCAGTAACGGTTGGACGGTAATAAAAAGTCATAGCAAATCCCGTAGCTACTTGTACTAAAAAACAAGTAAGGGTAATTCCGCCTAGACAATAAAATATGTTGACATGTGGAGGAACATATTTACTAGTTATATCATCTGCAATCGCCTGAATCTCAAGGCGTTCTTCGAACCAATCATAAACTTTATTGAGATAGGTAAACCAAGGTTACTCCCCCTCCAAGAACTGTATATGAGAATTTCATCTCGTACAGCTCAAACAAAAAAAGACCTAAATACTGATTGAAACAGATATGGAATATAAAGTTTTAAACTTGTCTCTTATTCAATATTATTTAAAGATATGAAAGAGTCAAAATGCGAAAGCTCGTCTTTGTGGTTAAATGCCAAAAAATCAAGTAAGCTCATTCGTCTTTATGTTGTGTTGATCGTTACAGGCCTCTTGAATCTTCTAGATTACCTATCTTTATTGTCTTTTTTATTTGGTATTTGTATGGAACGGGGATAGGGATTTCTTCTTGTTTTCTTTATTATTGATAGGAATTCTCTTGTTAAGACCCTACTTAACTAATCAATTGAAACCTCAGATTCATACGAGAACCACGATAATTCAATGAAACCTTCAAAGTCCAAAGTTCACTGAGTGAGAACCATTGGATCATCACTTATTCAATCAAAAAAATAGCTATAATGACTAAAAACATAAAATACAAAGAAGCGTTTGTCCTTTGATCCAAATAAGAGTTTAAAAGCAGAAATTTTTTTTGATTTATTAAAGTTTATAAGATAGAACGGAAAGAAGTCCGGCTACGAGGTCTGAGTATTAAGTATGAATCATAGTTCGAATACTTTGTGATCTATTTGATCTATTTTGTGCTCCAGATATTCGAATGAATATCCAACGAAGTAAAACCATCTTGATAAAGATGACAGACCCCATTCTCTGTACTATCCATAGGGTCAATTCTAACAAGTCACACACTCATATTCCGGAAATATACAATGCAGAAAAAATTTTCGCGGCCGAACTACCAAAGGAGAATAGGCTAAAGTTGTTAGACCTACATACTTTACGTTTTTGTACCGAGCTAAAAGCTAGAACTTCAAGATTCTTCTCAGTCTAATTCACTGAAATTCCATCCAGTAGAACAGAAGAATTATAAATCTCCAAAATAATAGATAGGAATACCGCAAATAGAGCCATTGCAACACCCATCAAAGGGGTCGTTCCCCATCCAGGAGCTACTTTACCATATTCGGAATTCAATGGTTTCAATAACTTCCCTACAGTAGTGCTTCTTGGACCAGATCTAGAACTATCCTCAACAGTTTGTGTAGCCATAAATCTTATTTTGTATTCATTACGATCTGTTGACTTTGTATACCATTCCGTTGTAAATAAATGATCTTAGCATAGATCCGGTGTGGTCTTTCAATTCTATAATAATGGAAACAGCAACCCTAGTCGCCATCTTTATATCTGGGTTACTTGTAAGTTTTACTGCCTTTGGGCAACCCTCTCAACAATTAAGAGATCCATTCGAGGAAGAGATCCATTCGAGGAACACGGGGACTAGTTGACGTAATCAGCCTCCAAATATTTGGAGGCTGATTACGTCAATGAAAATAATGAAAAATTTTTTCATTTTTTAGTTGAAATTTTAGGTGGTTCCCGAAAAAAAATAGCGAAAAAAATTATCCCTAAAGTGGATACTAAGAGAAATGTATAAACCAATGCTTCCATAAATTTGATCGTGGTTTACAATTATAGCTTTCATACCTGTTTTGTTTACTTGGGAGTATCCCTCTGGATAAAGACAGAAAAAGAGTCAAAGAAACGGCAGCGATTTAAATCAAGATTCCTACAGTACCCTACCTATTAAATAAAATAATAAACAGAAACTAGAAGAAAAAAAGCAATGTTGCATCAGACTGCTTGTCGTTTTGTAGTTGGATCTCCAAGTTTTTGGAATGCCCCAAATTCCACTTGAGCATCCAAATCTGGATCAATACCAGCAAAAACATCTCTGAAGAGGGTTCTAGCACCATGCCAAATGTGTCCAAAGAAGAAAAGTAGAGCAAACGAAGCATGTCCAAACGTAAACCAACCTCTTGGGCTGCTATGAAAAACACCATCGGATTTCAAAGTCGCACGATCTAATTCAAAAATCTCACCCAATTGAGCCCGTCTAGCATATTTTTTCACAGTTGCGGGATCACTATAACTCACTCCATTGAGTTCACCACCATAAAACTCAACAGTTACACCTACTTGTTCGACACTATATTTTGATTCTGCCCTTCTAAATGGGACGTCGGCTCTAACAATTCCGTCTCCGTCTACCAAAACAACCGGAAAAGTTTCAAAAAGAGTAGGCATACGGCGTACAAAAAGTTCACGCCCTTCTTTATTCCTAAAGACGGGGTGGCCCAACCATCCAACAGCTATTCCATCCCCATTGTCCATTGAACCTGCTCGGAATAACCCCCCTTTTGCTGGATTATTACCAATATAATCATAAAAAGCTAATTTTTCAGGAATTTTAGCCCAAGCTTCTGATAAACTTTGATTTTCAGCCAGTCCAGCACTAACTCTTCGATATATTTCTTGTTGAAAGTATCCCTGATCCCATTGATAACGAGTAGGACCAAATAATTCGATAGGAGTAGTTGCAGAACCATACCACATAGTTCCAGCAACAACAAAAGCTGCAAAAAAGACAGCAGCAATACTACTGGAAAGAACGGTTTCAATATTGCCCATACGTAATCCTTTGTATAGACGTTGAGGCGGACGAACACTAAGATGGAATAGGCCCGCTAATATACCCAACGTCCCTGCTGCAATATGATGAGAGGCTATTCCTCCCGGAACAAAAGGGTCAAAACCCTCCACGCCCCACGCCGGGTTTACGGGTTGGACCTTTCCGGTTAGTCCATAAGGGTCGGATACCCATATTCCAGGACCATATAATCCTATTACATGAAATGCGCCAAAACCGAAGCAAGCCACTCCTGAAAGAAATAAATGAATTCCAAAAATCTTGGGCAAATCCAAAGAAGATTTTCCTGTACGTTCATCACAAAAAATTTCTAGATCCCAATATACCCAATGCCAAATAGCTGCCAAGAAGCACAAACCAGAAAACACGATATGTGCTCCGGCTACCCCTTCGTAACTCGAAAGACCCGGATTCGTTATAGTCCCTCCTGTAATATTCCAACCGCCCCACGAATTGGTTATTCCTAAACGAGTCATGAAAGGTATAACGAACATACCTTGTCTCCACATTGGATCAAGAACGGGGTCGGAGGGATCAAAAACTGCTAATTCATATAGAGCCATCGAACCAGCCCAACCAGCAACCAGAGCAGTATGCATTATATGAACAGAAAGTAAACGACCGGGATCATTCAATACAACAGTATGAACACGATACCAAGACAAACCCATGGAAATACCCCTTTATCAACGAAAAATAGACACTATGTAACTTTATTGCATTGGAAAAAACTATGCTACGTACCCCTCTTTTTAGGTAATTATTTCGGAGAAAGGATTAATATTTGTTCTATTCTGTTAGTAATAATGGAACAATTCATAGAAAAAAGGGAAGCGGATCTATTCTATATCCGATAAGTACCAATATGCAATGGGGGTGAATCCTATTTTATATGAACCAAGATAGCTATTATTGTTGATCATTCAGAAGCCCGTTCGTAAAAAATTTCCTTTAGTTTTATTCATTCTCTCTTACTTTACTTTTATTTTATATTTTATTTTAGCTTATTCAACTTATGTATTAAATATCATTAATTTAAATATGATTAATAAAGTAGGAAAAAAGGATAATAGTATTAAAAACCGAAACCCCAATTTTACGTTTCCACATCAAAGTGAAATAGAGAACTTCATTCTCTTTTTTTTCATTTCATGCCTATTGGCGTTCCAAAAGTACCTTTTCGAAGTCCTGGAGAAGGAGATACATCTTGGGTTGACATATAGTGCGACTTGTCAGATATATCGGGCTATATGGGATTTCCCCATTTTCTCCCTCGATCGAGATATCCTCTGTTTCGCTCAAAAAGATTGATTGAATTTTCAAAAATTTGTAACGCGAAGCGCAAAAAATAAAGTGGAATTAAATGCAGGGAGTATTTAAATTGATATTAGATTATCAAAAAAATTTTATGGTTTACGTGATCGGACTAATAAAATGAAGTATCCAGGCTCCGTTTAGCAAAAACCCAATTGATAATTAATATATAATATTTTTATAATTACTACTTATATGATATGTAAAATTATGATAAAAATTCTATAAAAAAAATTGAAACAGGGCGATCTAAAACTGTTGCTCAAATCAAATAATATAATTCAAAATTTGTTGACTATTTGACAGAAGACATGTGAAAGAAATGAATTGAAAAAAAAGGAGACGCGGTATTTGGTTCATTTGTCCTATATGTGCAAATCAAAATCGGGCAAATTTTTCCTTTTACTCGGGGTAGAGCATAAACCTAAAAAATGGAATAAAAAAAGGAAGAAGCCCGTTCAGGAACAAGAAAAAACCATCGCCATTTCAACTGAATCTCGATGAAAAAAAAATATCAATGAATCAAATGAGTCTGACAGGGTTAATCAATCGTTTTATTAGAGGATTATAATATCTAATACAAGGTACAAGGCACCAAAACTAAAATTTTCTTTTACTTTTGGGAGCAAGCCCTTCCGTTATAAGTTAGAAAGAAAAACCCTCTATGAAAAAAGGGGAGGTTGGAATCGACACATTGATTTTTTCACAATTTTTGTTGAACCGTATGCACCAAAAGGTGCCTGTACGGCTCCTAAGGAATAAAAATTTATCATAATCAACCGACTTTATCGAGAAAGATTATTTTTTTTAGGCCAAGAGGTTGATACCGAAATCTCGAATCAACTTATTAGTCTTATGATATATCTCAGTATAGAAAAGGATACCAAAGATCTTTATTTGTTTATAAACTCTCCTGGTGGATGGGTAATATCTGGAATGGCTATTTATGATACTATGCAATTTGTGCGACCCGATGTACAGACAATATGCATGGGATTGGCCGCTTCAATAGCATCCTTTATCCTGGTCGGAGGAGCAATTACCAAACGTATAGCATTCCCTCACGCTTGGCGCCAATGAGTTTTTCTTTTCGAGAAAAAAATACTATGCCTTCGCCATCGTAAATATGAATTAGTTAAGTAATAATAGCATGGCACTTCGAATTCAATATGAAATTTTTTAGATTAAAAAAAAATTCGATTATATATTGAAAGAGTAGTATGAGATAAGGAAGAGGTTTTTCAAATGATATCTTACCTATTCGGGCACATTTCAGCGTCACAAACTTTGTTTTCACACCGTACAAAAAAAAAAAAAAGACACTTTGGGATTGCTGAATCATAGACGAATCAAAAAAATGATATATAAAGCAACGGAACCATCATAGTATTTTTTTAACTCCTACAAAAAAAAGAAGGATGGTAATTGGATGATTTCTGGATCTGCGTATAATACAACCTATATTTTGTTTTCTTTCGCCAAAAGGAAAGGTCAAAAAAGTCAATTCCAATGTGGAGCCGTATGCAATGCACAAAAAAAGCCTGTACGGTTAATCAATTTTATCTGTTTTTTTTTTGTTTTGGTTATCCCGTCTCATTCTGCGAAATAGAAAAACCTTTTCTATTATATCATCAGGGTAATGATCCATCAACCCGCTAGCTCGTTTTATGAGGCACAAACGGGAGAATTTATCTTGGAAGCGGAAGAATTACTAAAACTTCGCGAAACCATGACAAGGGTTTATGTACAAAGAACGGGCAAACCTATATGGGTTGTATCCGAAGACATGGAAAGGGATGTTTTTATGTCAGCAACAGAAGCCCAAGCTCATGGAATTGTTGATCTTGTAGCGGTTCAATAAAAAATAGGAGCGATTTCATGCAAATCTACAATTTCTAATTTTATATCTTTTTAGATTAAAGGTTTAGTTTCATATTCTCTTCAATATAAAAAAATATTGAAGAGAATCTTGAAGAGAAGTAATTCAGAATTAGCCGGTTAGAACTAATCTAAACCAGCCCATTATTTATATGATTCCGTATGCCAACCATTAAACAACTTATTAGAAATACAAGACAGCCAATCCGAAACGTCACGAAATCCCCAGCGCTTCGGGGATGCCCTCAGCGACGAGGAACATGTACTCGGGTGTATGTTCGACTCGTTTAGATCATAGACTGAGACATAAAAAGTAAATTCTTTTTGAAATATCACGGATCAGTACCTGTGAATAAAATAGAATGGA